ACTGTCACTATATGCTTGCACACAGGTTGTTGCCTGATTGTTGGGATTTTCTCTGTGTTATTGTTGGTCTTTACCTGACAATATAAAGCACCTTGAGGTGACCATTGTTGTGATTTGGCGCTATATAAATCAAATATAATCAAATTCAATTCAATCATCTAAACTGCGGCCCTCACACTTACCAAATGTTTAATGCAGTTTTCACCAGATTTGACTGGTAGTTGTATACAATCATTTTTGTGCCACAAGTGCCACATGTCCCCCATTTAGTAAGGAGCTTGGTCTTTGTTAACATTAAATAACGGTTTTGCTAAGATGGTGGCTGAGTGTGAAAACTTGCTTGGAGAAGGACTTTATTTAAACTAAATAATTCAACCATTCAGACAAAGTGTTTTGTTCAAATGATAATGCTAGTCTTGTGACAGATTCACAATGATTTTCAGTGGGTAAGACACACACAGACATACACACAAAGCTGTTGAACTCACAAAGGTAAGTTCCTCCTTTGAAATAACACCCTCATCATTGCCGCAACGGTCCTAATAACCATCATCACAGGACACTCTGTTGTTATCGTAATCAGATCTGCGCTGATATACAGCTTTAACGAAATGCAGCATGAACCCTGCTCGTAATAATTGGTACGGTTGTGCACGTTAGCCGGGAGTGCATCTCCCATTTTCACATGGTGCTATTATCCCAGCACATAATACCTTGCTGATTATCCATTCAACAAGGCGTAGCTATCGTAACTGTTATGATAATGGCACGCGTAGCAATGATAATCCACACAAACCGGTACTCTCTCTCTCTGATGCTAATGACAGTAGTGGGTGGTCATACACAGAAACAGCAGTAGCTGGTGGTTCAGTGCTGACTCAATTGAATGGCGGGCTGCTGTGTAAATCCATTTGACCCCGGACGGGCTGGCCGCCGGACGCGCTGGTGAGAAACAAGGTTGGGTTGGGGGAGGCTCAAGGAGTTTTTCAGCTCCTCCTCAGGCCTGCGGCTCATATCACAAGTGCTGATTAGCTCATTTAGCTGGACTTATTAAGTTAAAAGGAGACACCTGTTTACCCTAAGGCTCGCTAATGTGTTGCCATGACAACAGCCGAGGGCCCAGTGTCTCCAGCTCCGTCTGCCTATCTCTCACTTCCTCCTCAATCTCTCTGTTTATTCCTCAGCCCTTGCTCCCCTTCGCGCAACACACACTCGCGCTCACACAGATGTCTCTCCACTGAGTTGCTCCATCTGAAGTTGCTGAGGTAAGAAGATCAGGTTTTCCACTCAGTGGAGCGAGAGCGCTCTCACCTCTTCCCCACGGTCCACCCGGCAGCACCTGTGCATGTGTGTAGATGCGTCCGCTCATGTGTGTCTGTGTGCGTTTATGCGTCCGGGTGACATTTCGGGTCCAGGATGGAGGAGGCTAAAGCACACAGGTGCATTTCACAAGTCTATAAATCAACTATGTGCGAATTGTGGGGATGTGAAACGTGTACAGATCATCAGGACTTTAAAGTTCTTAGCTGGTGTGGATCGGCGGTTTGATTTTACAGCCAAACCAAAGCAGTGACGAGCAGGTGTAATTAAATTCAGCGATTCATGTGGGAAATCCTCTATTTAGGTTCGACTGATGCAAAAAAGTTCTCAAAAGTGGACACAAAAGACCAGGCTCACTCGGCTGTCTTCTTTCTCGCCAACGATTTCAGAGTCGGTCTTCATCCCTTACGGCTCCCGCTTCGCCCTCCTCTTCCCTCAGTTTTCCCCCCTTTTCTCACCCTTCTTCACTCTGTTTCTCTCTTTCACACCTTACATCCCCTGGTGGTTGACACATGTCTCAGTAATGTCTCTGACTCTGTCTCTCCAGCTCTGTCTCACAGCTTCATTTAGGTCAACTCTCTAACCTGAAACAATGTGACGGTCTCTCCACCCCACCAACACCTCACACCCTTTTACATATCTCCCTTTATTTCATTTCCTTCAGTGTTTTTGTACACATGAGTTGTCAGTCTGTGCTTGCACTTGTAGTATCTGTGTTTTGTTGATCTGTCACATTTCGTCTCTCCCCATCTCCTCTGCTCTCTCTTTCGGCTGTTTGTTTCTCCCCTTGACTCTGGCAGACTCATTATCTTTGTAGAACAGCAGTGTGCGTTTGTCAGCAGTGATTAGCAACGTTTCACTCTTACATCGTTAAGGAAAGACAGTTTGATATTTGACGACCGAAGATACAGCATTCTCTAATCTTCTGGCGGGAAACTGTGTCATAGCAGATAGAGGCTTTGGCTAAGTTTTCCATAACATTAAAGCTCGCATTGATCATAATCCAATTAATGAAAAAAAAAAGAGGGAGACGGACAAAAAAAAGGACAGCGGGAAAAAAAACAAAATGCTCGCTTCATTAAATGGAGAGAAATCAACTGTAATCAAATTGCTGAGTTCTCAGAACTGATGAAGTGCACACATTTAAAGATCTAATGAAAAATTCCAGCAGTTAACATAATTAATTTGCAGCCCTTTTGATAAGTGGTAATGACTTAGAGATTAATGGTTTAAATTAATAGTTTTGTTGCACAGCTGCAGTAAAGAAGTTGAATTGGGGGGAGGTGGCGGGGTTGCAAGCGGGGAGACACTATCCTACTTTCAAAGTTCCTGAGGAGATGAAGCAATGTTTTTTTTAAAGGCACAGTAAGACAATTAGACTCCTCTATAAACTAATTACTGCTGCTTTAATTCCGTCTCAGATTAAACAGCAATTGTAATAAGACAACGTCTCAAAGGAGATGTTTGTAAGCAGAAGGGAAAGGCACATTTGTAATTAAAGGCGGAATAATATTTTTCTCATTAGGCAAATATTTGCAGTGGAGATAAAGGTGCCGACACTCGCGAGTCTCGCCTCCTTTCCCTCTCTGTTTTCGCGCTGAAGAATTAAGAAGAGACACTTTTGTTTTGCATTGCCTCCAGAAAGAGACCAGCAGCCTGCTAACAGGAGGTGAGCCAGTCAGACATCTCCTCTGACAAGATATTAAGACAGGATCTGATGAGTGAAGATTGTTTTGCTCCAAGGCTTAAAAGTGGGACACTTAACTTACAAAAAAAGGGGAACTTTTCTTTTATTCCTGCGACGTTATTATTGTGAGAAAGCGCTGGTAATGCTATTATTGCTCAGACCCACCGCAGGCTTTTTCCCATGCTGTCAGCTAATGTTGATGATGCCCTCTCCTCGGTCGTCGCTCTGCGCACTAACAGCATCGCTTCTGATGGACTCAAAACAACTAGTTTCAGCACGAATGACTTTCTCTTATCATAATTTGATTATTTTAATGATCTTGTTACTAAACCTCAAGACGCTGCACTTGCATATCCCCGGGGGGAAAGCCACGGTTGAACGCATTGTATGAATCTCACATGAGGCTCCGGAAATGTCCGAGGGTGACAATATACGGTGGCGTGCTTATCCTTGTGCGTGCGCGCGTGTTAATACATGGATGTAAATGCACTTGTGGTGTGGTGTGGCACACCCCAGCAGCAGTGACCACAGCCACACCACCTGACACAGAGAAGAGGAAGGTTATAGAAAACTATTTGCATAAAACAGGCGAGTGCACTATTAGTCAAACACCACAGCCAGAAGGGGCTTGATTGTGGCCTTTCATCATCGCCTATTGAATTATCTGGATTAATTTAACGCATTTAGGCCCGGGTGTTTTTCCCCAGCTCGCAACTTTCCCATCTCTTCGTTAGTGATAATTACACTAAGTGGGTCATCTCCCTCTGAGCGCCTTTTCTTTTCTCACTCCCCTACATAACATTAGCATTTTCAACTTTTTAAAACAAAGTTTGGCCAAAAAAAAAATATCTAATGATATAAACGGAGTGATTCACTTTGCATTCTGTGGATAAAAGCCTTGAAAAGCAGGCGGTTGACTCAGAGGAGTGGAGGAGTGGAGCGAGAGAATAGCACGGGTGAACTAGAGGTTTCAGAACTCACCTTTCATTTTATTTTACTTTCTCACACTTTTGAGTTCTGAGTCACGGCAACTTGTGTGTAGCCCTGGCTGCGCTAACCCACGTGGGCACTGCTGGTCAGTAGAACGACTAATGCGGAGCTCCAATATTGCACATTGCAAGTCATGCAGGATCGAATTTAGCAGTAGGCCACATTATGCAACAAACGCCAATATGTTATTCCTGTGCTACTACAAATCTTTACAGTATGCTCCTCAGATCCTTCACGAGCCATTCCACCAAGCACTTTAAGACATTTCAAACAGCCAATACACGATTAAAGGGATCAAACATCTTCTACCAAAACATAATGGAGAGAGGGGGTCAAGAGAATAAGATGTAATATCACCAAAATTAAGTCACACTGCACAGTGCACACCCACTCTACGACTCCTGGCACTTGGTCTTTGCCCACAAGGGAGGCATCCTAAGCATGTGCAGAGAAAGCTCACAGAGGAAATATGGCTGTTAAGTCATTAGGCAGCTCATTAACACGTTGTTTAATTGGTGTCTAATTGATCATGGATGTTTTAGAAAGCTGTGATCCTCAGGGGTGTGTGTGGTAGCACCAGCAGACGCTCAGGGGAGCCTCAGAGTCAGCAAACGTCTATGAATATTGCCCCACACAGCTGTACAAAAAACAGCTCAGGCAACTTTAACATGTCTTACATTTCAGATTTTTGTTCAGTTAATAAAGTTGCAGAAACTCCAGCTTCACTTTTTTTTATCAGAGGGATTCATAAAGAGCCTTTTTTTTTTTTGCAAGATCTGATCCAAGGACTTAGAAGATGTGGAAGTTAAAGGAGTGAGAAGAACAATAAATTATGAGGGGAAGCTGACTGAGAGAGCAGTGATGGTGGGTTTGACTGCTTTCTTACAGGTTTTCCTTTTTTCTCAAACACACACACACACACACACACACACACACACACACACACACACACACACACACACACACACACACACACTCATCAACACTGCTAAAAACTCTTTACCTCAGGACCTCAGGTGATCTTCTGACCTTTCTTTAGCCCCGCAATAGAATTTCAGCCTTCGGCAACTTTGATCAACTTTGTTTTGATTGAAGCCATCAATTCACAATTGAAGTGAATGCTGACCGACCAATCAACATACATTAGCGTAATGCTAATGAACAGCGGCCTCTCTGTGGGGAAAAACAAAAACACATAAGTGCTTTGCTAAACTCAATTTTGAATTTGAAAATTTGACGTACTATATTTGTAAAAACGTAAAACCAAAGGTGTAAATAATTTTTTCAGCTGTTGCAGCTCCATTCACTCCTACTCACTGAAGACTATCCCGCAAGTGCGCCGTAGATGAATTGCTGCACGCTGGCACTATTAGGGAGCGAGCAGTCTCTGTGTAGACAGGCACTGGCGGAAACTCCTTCTTTCTTTTTATATTTTCCAGTCGCTGCCAAGCTGCTGCTGATGAAAGGCGAACACACTGGAGCTAAAGCCTCATACCACTTTTCAGATTGGTTTGTTTCATTTGAAAGCAACAAACAAACTCTCAGCATGTGATCCATATTGTGAAACCCGTGTCTGTATGTTTTCTACAGTGTTGTGTGCTCACACCTCTGCAAAGAAAGTTAATGGCAAGCATGAGGAAACGTATCAGAGCCTCACGTTCTTGACATATACCATCTCCTATTTTTATGCTTGTTTTCTGTTTTGTTTTGTTTTTCATTTGCAGCTCTCTGCCATCTCCCCCTGTCATTTTGTGACGAGAGCTCACCTGTGAATAATTCATGAGGAGCAGCACATACGATTACGCTGGTTAAAAAGTAATGAGGCATAGCCGTAATAAAAGGTTGCCTTGCGTTGTTGTACCAAGTGTCTCTCACATGCCGATGTCATTGCTGGCCCCAAGTTCGCATGAAAGCGCATCCTCGTCGCCTCTGACAAAGCGGAGCGTTAAGAGAGAGAAAACAAGAAAACACAGCCACGGCCTGTGGAGCAGGTGGTTAGAAAACAGGCAACACAGAAGCCCCCTCCCTCCTCAGCTCAGCGGTATGATCTAGCCCAGGCTATGAGCTGTCACCGGGGGCTTTTCATGTCTGAGCTTGGGAAAGATCAGTAGACTCCCCGTCTGAGCTCGGAGCCCTTTGATAATCGATGGAGCTTACAGTGGTGCTTTGTAACGACAGCGACCGTTCACGGTCCAATCAAACCGCAACGCTGTCCTCTCTTGTTTGTTCCCAGGATTGTGCAGGCTATTTCCTGTTTGACTTAAAATGAGGCCTTGTGTTTTATGAGCGTGTCAGCGCTGACAGCGAGGAGATACACCGGCATTACAAAGCTCCTACTTTTTCAATTTTGGTACAATATCTGTTTGCTGCACAGCTCGGCATTGTTTTGCATGCAGTTTAGAACAGATGCAAAGCTGACACACTTTTTACATAACCTGCGCTTACACTCTGTGACACACACTATGACTTTGGTAGCGATGAATCAACTTCTTCATGACACAAAAAGCATTAATGTGCAAATAGTCATTAGTCATCTTCTGCCATCTGTCAGATGCATAATGACGGCAAGTGATCAAGTATTAAGTGGCAAATGTGGTGTAAGTCAGTAAAAACAGCACCCCTTTGCACGCTGGAGAGGTGGTTTTAATCTCATTGACTGAAATGAGCAGCTGTGGGGAGGTTTAACTAGCTCAAATTTCACACTTTAGATTTCAGATTCCTTTAAAATCCTCCTGCATCACAGTCCATTTTAACTCTTTTCTCAGTAACAAACAGAAAAACAACAAAAAAAGGCATGTATACTATGGACATGTCACACTTAAATGATTAAATAAGAACGGCAACCTCCCTGCAACTAAAATTTATTTTTTATTTATTTTTTCCTTCCTTGACCTCACATGTAACAGTGTTTGTCTTTGGTGTTTAAAGGTTGTGTGGGTAAGCTGCAAACACATTGCCCTTTTTGTAGATTAATGAAGTCATCTGAATCTGAATTTTTGGCAGCTGATTGCAAGTTGCTGAACTGACCAGCTGGTCACCCAGAGGTTGAGCGTGGAAGCGCTCAGAAACTTCTGCATGACCATTTTCGATGCAAGGGCCAAACAACTGCAGTCTGGCTCAGATTGAGTGGAGTCTCAGACAAATTAGTCAAGGTTTACCAATAATTTCCTCCTAATTTATAAATGCAGACAGAGTCACTCTGTGCTGATTAGCACACCTTATCTTAAGTCTGACAGCAGACTTGCAATTTTCAGTGATTTATCACAGTTAATCTCCATGTTATCGCAGACTGATAGCAGACCAATGCGATTGTTGTTGTTTTATCACTGTCTTTGAGCATAGCAGCTAACTGTGGGCGCTCTCACACCTGGTTCCATCATAAAGGCAATAAATTGATCTCAGCCACTGTTTTCTTCTAGTGCGACTGTAGCAACAACCTTCCTAACACTAGGTATAAGGAATGATGGTACAATATTGTATAATGGGAACTCTTTATAAAAAATATTTATATATTTATATATTTGTACATGTCGTTTATTTTAGTAAACTTGTTTGTTTTCACTGTGGGGTTAGATTTTGGAACTAAGTCTGCTCAGTTTAACTACACATTAAAAAGGTTCCCTTGTTTACCACAGTGTGGCATCTATGACAGAGAGGAAAACAGCAGACCACTTTTTTGCCCACAAACTTGTCACAGCTACATATTTCAGATGTAAAGAAGCTTCTATTGAACTCTGTTGGACTAAAGTGCATGTTAATGCCAAAAAGATACTGTGTGAGTGCCAATGAGAAGTCAATGGGTGAACAGCAGCAGCCACAACAGGGTTACTCTACACTCCGGTCATTAGCTATCATAGCTAAATCCACAATAAGAGAGGGTGTGCATGAGAGAGGGAATACATTTTGTGGGGAAAATCACTTTAATATCATGCAAACCTTTGAGTTAAATGAACCGGACCACTGGAAAATGGCCACATATCTTTGCTTGGCCATCATTTGTCGGTGGGAGTTTTGAAGCTTTACCCAAACTGTGATATTTCATTAAAACGAACCAAGTATATTTGATGCCTATAGCTAACCAAACAGAATGTGAATATAAAGTAAACTGTGAGGGGAGAAAAAAGAGAATGCAAAAAACAGAGCTCACAAACAGGACTCAAACCGCAGTCTTCTGGTTGACAGCATTGGTTAATGAGATCGACTAATTGGCTTGACACGGGACAAGCTGTGCCTGAAACAGAAAAGAAAAAACACGACGACTTCGAAGATGTCAATGAGGAAATGTGTCAAAAACAGACTCCTATATTAATCTCAGGTATTCCCCACCTGAAATCTATTTTGGTCTCACAAATACATTATTCAGTTGTTGTGAATCTAATTAAGAATTGAACATGCACAGATGGTGCTCTTGACCTCCCGTGAGTGAAGTACATTGTATGAATAAGATGCAAACAACTGACAAACATGTCTCTCTTTTCATGTGAACAAACAGAGTTTGGGTTCGAGTTAATTTTTTCTGGCTTTAGAGGCTGTTTGCTAAGTTTGAGAACCCCAGCTATAAAGGTTTCTCCATGCATGCATGTTTTCCATGCATTTCTAAGTGCAATCACACATCTATCATCTTTACAATAGCAGTTAAGGAGAACCTGCTCATTTCCTGTCCCCTCATATTAGACAGACCTCGTTAATAAGCCTTGGTACCTGAAATACTGTGACATTTCCACTGCCTGCTCTGCGAGCATCACATGCAAGTTAGTCTTCCTGACTGCTTTATGATGCCCACTGAACAGGACAAACAGCACAATGACAGAAATAATGGATGGAGAAAGAGAAGAAGAGAGAGAGAGAGAGGCCAAATTAATGGATGAAAGAGTAGGGAGCAGATTGATTGAATAAAGAGCAGATATAAAGAGCACACATAGTGAAGGCACACAACATTCATAGTGAACCCAAAGTCCCCAAGGTTGTTTTGATATTTCCGAGCCACTTCCCAAGATCCGGTTGTATCGTGGAGCCAAATTGATTTATAAGAGCACATTTATTATGTGTTTGTTGAGGGGTACACATTTTGTGTGCTTGTACAGAGTATGGAGGGTTTATAAGAAACTGTTTTTGTCATGTACCATATCATTGTCCACGGCTCGTAACTTTGTGCAGGTGTGACTGAGCTTGATGCAGGAACCACAGTGAGAATCCAGGAACGTGGAAAACTGCAAAGAAAAAAAGAAATAAAGAGAAAACAATTCAAAGTTACACCTTTAAAGCTTTTTTTAATTCAAAAAAGGTGATTTTTTTCTCCCTGCCTACAGATCCCCTTCTTTTATTGCCACCCATCACTCTTTCCCTCTTTATCTGTCGGCCACAGCCTCTTCTCATTTAATGCCTGCTGTGTGCTGGCCAGATCAATAGTCTAAGACAAACATGTGCAGGCATAAACGCACGCACACACATGCACACTGACATAAACTCAGGCAAACGCACACACCACACACCTTGAAGGAAAATATCCCGGCCCTTCAACTATAATCACAGGGGCTCTTACTGTAGAGGCAAAACTGTTTCTCACCAGTATTTGATACCTGATTGTTGAAGACAGGTAAAAATAGACAGCCCAAAAGCAAAGAGCGTCTGGAACTGAGGGTGAAATGGGAAAAAATATATATAATTTCAGATAAGAAGACTAAAAGCCCTCAATCCAGCCAACCAGCTACACAGACTCGCTACATTCACACAGACAGCATCAGCCGGGGAAAGCAGGGCACGATTAGCATCCTGTGAATGTGCATGAGCTGAGCGGAGCTGAGGTGAAATGACTTGTGTCATGTCTGTGGACCACTAGCGGCTGACGGCCTCATCACACATAGCCCCGAGCGCAGACCGCCCATTTGCGTAAAAAACCTGATTAGGACTTTTTAGCTTTTCAGATCGGCCCTGCCCGTCGTCCGCGGTGGATGCATCCAGTCACAGTTACTCAGTCCCGGCCTCTGGACGATTAGGCACCATCTCACTCCAAGCATGAGCGATTCTTTTGCTCCCCTCTCGCGCTCTCATCGCTCGCCGGCAGGGTCAGGGGACAGACAAGCTGAAGACTTCATTCCTTACGCTTCTGTCGTTTAAATCAGGTCGGATGAGTGTCATCGAGCCCTCCCATTTAAAAGCATGGTAATCTGATTCTTTCTACTCATGACTCTATCTGCTCTCTACTCTTCTGCCTCCAACTCTCTCTCGGTTTATTTCCCCAACTCTGTCTCTCTGTCTTTATCATGGTTAAGTTGCGATTGAATTATGCCCTCTGGAGTGGCTCTATCGGCCCCCCATCTAGATACTGAGCTGTCACCAACAGGCCCACATTTCCCAATCCAAGCTGCCCAGGCCAGTTTCTCTGCCCTTGCACTGCACTTGCTCGCTCTCCCTCTTCACCCTGGCCCTGCACTGTCACCTTGGATCACAAGAGTAGAAGGAAGATGAAGACAAAAGGCGGAAAGCAAACGCTGACCTCATGGCAGCTTTGTATACGCATGTGTATAACTCCATGACATGCAGCAGGAATGGCTACTATGACAAAAGTAATACAGTATCCTTTCTTTCATCCTGCTTTTTATTCTTGCTCTATTTTTCCATCGCAACCTTGATTCACTTTATCTTACTCATACACGAGGCATAGTAGGAGAGCTGCAACAAGTTCTCAGATGGGTTTTATGCTATTAAATCCTTGCACTGCTGTTCATTAAATAAGATGTGAGGCGTTAACAAGTGCAACACGTAACAGTTTCCTGCTTTGTGTTGCCTTAACTAAAACCACAGCACTGTAGTCACTGTTACCATCCACTTACATGTGCTTTGTGATACATACTAACATGTGCATTAGCAGCAGCAAATTCAAGCAGAGAGCGAAGTGTGAGGAGGGGGGGGCTGGGAAGCAGAGGCTCTCCAAACATGCTGGTTAGAAGCATGTTGTCGTAATTATGCCTGACAGCCTCCTCAAAGAACATGAATAAAAAGCATTGGAGCGCGACACCTGGACTCATACATAACGGTTTAGTGTAAAGAGGGTGGCTTGAACTCCAAACACGTGTAATGAATGCACATATTGTGCAGAGACGTATGTAAGAAATGTGCATAGGAAAATGAGTGACAGAGAGTCGGTCACACATGACAGAGCTGACTGTGTTCGTACATGGGATGAAAAAGAAGATCTTTTCCTATTGATTCCTACACTTTATAAGACATGTTTCTCAAAGCGGTGCAATATTTGCTCCATTGTGCTCGCTTCTTTTCAAATCTTTCAGGAAAGAAAACAACTTTTTATTCCCCTCTCTCGCTCTCTTCTTTCTCTGCTGAATCGCAGGCGTTGCTGAGTTGTGGCCTTTGATTTTCATCACACTTTATCAGGTTGACCAGAGGGTCCTTGAGTGACTTACCTTTACTACACTCGCTTCGTCTCTCACTCTCAGAATAGTCATATGCTCGTTTCCAAGGCAACCAACCAGGACCCTTGTCCAGAGAGGGTTGACAGACATTGAATGGAGGAGCATTAAAACAGAGCCCGCTTTCACAAAATACAATACGCTTGTTCTTATAGATGGTTGATATATCCGTTTTTTTGTTTGTTTGTTTGTTTGTTTGTTTGTTTGTTTTTAAATTCAGGATGTCTACGATCCTACATAATACTCTGGTAAAATATGTTTCCTCTCCAAATGCATGAAACAAACTAGTTCTGGAATAAACTGCAGCCCCCCCTCCTTAGAGGGAAAAAGAGACTTAATTTTCCTCTCCCATGGGTCAGCACACCGAGTAAGCTCCATTAATGTAAAGAGAGAAATTAGAGGCTTACAAGAAGTGAAAAAGAAAAACAAAACTCAGTGGGCCAGCACTAAGAGAGAACATTGCTATCACTCGTCTAATTAATCTGTTGGCTATGCGATGCCCAGGGAGTGTAAAGGAGACTGAGGAGCTGCGGTGGCGGCAAGAGACGAGAGGAACAATAGAAAGCTCAGTCTCAGCTGTCTTCACTGGGGGTGTTGTATAATATTTTGAGGAAAGGAAGGGACAATTAAGAGCGGGGCAATTAGTCCACTCTCAAAAAATGTGACAATCAAGAAACTAGAATACAATCATACAAAGTTAAACTTCATGTTTCGGACTGCAGGACATAATACATATACAGTAATTGAGTGCAAGGTCACAAATCACTTTAATGGGGGCCGCTCCTTAAAGCAGTGCTGTTGCTCTCCAAAAGGGGACGCTGTTTCCCATGATCTTACAGGGTCTGAACAGTGTGGCTGTTTATTGTAAAGAACAGGAGACTCAGACCAAGTAACATTTAATTTAATACTAACATCCCTACTGGCACAAGCCTTGACTAAAGTCCTGCTTCTCTTCAGCTCAGCACATTAAATTGGACACTATTTAAGGAGAAGAGCTGAGTAAATGATACCTTGGTTTAGTTTTTTTCTAAGATCGTCATGGGAAAAATAACTGTGGTGGTGTAGCTAAATATTTAACTGTAATAAACAGCCCTACCATGTGTTCTGTAAAGTCTCCAAAACTGATGATGTTATTCATTGAAGAGATAAATGAAAGAAAAAGGTAACTTTCCGTACTATCGTTTAAATGGAAAGTAGCCTTTACTGAATAAAATTGGGAGGATTTTTTCCCCTAGATTTTAAAATGTCTCTATCTGATGCACACACAGTTTACATTGGAGAGGTAAAAACTGCTGCACTTCATTGTGAACTCCTGCTTAAACACACAGGGAGAGAGAAAAGGACTCGGCTGGCAGCTCATGTGCACCGCTGTTGCTAAACGATGACTGATAGCTGATATCCAATCAGATTCACTTTGCAAGGATGTTTTCATTATGTCTGGAACATCAGTCATTACGTCTGACCTGCTCTGGATGGAGGAGATAGGACTTAGTGCAGACACGGGTTTGGCTCCAACTCCTTTAAAGCAATCTCTGTAAATGTTCATCAGGAGGGCAGCTTTAACAAATGTCCTCTTACAGATCTTGAACCTTTAAATAAAACGGAGTGCTTGCAACTGTTTCTCCAGCCTATTAAAACACAGTTATTTTTATTTCCATTTGAAGAAAATAGATTAATTATGGTATGTGAAAGCGAAAAAAAATAGAAATCTAAAGTTTATTTCCTTAAATCTTTCCTTTCTTTTTAGAGGCAGTAGAGTGTGAACTGATCAAGGACAAACAGGCTTTCTTTTGACTATATGGTCCCTGGTTTTCTCCTTTTCATCCAAAAGAAAAAGCGAAAAAGTACTGATTGAAGGATGCCGCACCTCTACCTGCCCATCAATAAATAAAAACTAAACACTAGAGATCAAAATTGCGTGAGAGGAAAAGGAGAAACTGCTATAAAGATGAGTTCTCAAATTCAGGTCTTGTACAGTAGATTAGGAAGTCACAGTCCTTCAGTTTCTTGGAGTAACCCTGCATTTCCCTGTGATGAAGCCTTAAAGATCTGAAGAGCATCAAGAGACATATCTAAGAGAAGTGCCTTCAGTTTTTATTCATGTTCCTTCCCCTTTCTTTTTCAAGTGATCTGCAGCTTCAGAGAGAAGACGGTGAGGGAGAGGGATAGAGAGAGAAAGGGAGGCAGAGGGAGAGAGAGTGGAAGTGTTTTCCAATAGAAATGAGGCGAGTTGAAGTAGACTCTTCAGTCGGGCTGAGGCTGTCACCGCTCAGTTCAAAACATTCTGCCATGCAAAACAGGCAAAAGCCCCGCAAACCTGTAATATGACTTTGCTTTGAACATCAGGAAGCTCATTCTCAAGCAGGTCAGACTTTTTAAAACTTTGAGAAAATGTAAAAAAAAAAAATCAGTCCCGATAAATCGGTCTCGGGACTGAAAAATTTTCACTTTCATTTGTGGGCGCAGAATTAGGTCCGGCATTTCATTTTTCTTTGTCAATAAAGATCATTGTCTTGCTTATTGGCAAGCCACGAGGAGTGAATTTGTCATAACCGCAAACATGCACTTCGACGACACACATGCACACACCCACGTACACACGAGCTCGTGTGCACATACAGTTCTCATATTCTTGAGGACAGCTGCAGGGGTGTGGAAGCCTTGGGAAAATGGATTGTGGAATCAAGCCAATCAACTTCCTCTGTAGCCAGCACCTGTTTGTCTGTATCTGCTGCTGTTATTTCACAATACAGGGCGATTATAGAAATGCACAGAGATTAATA